GATAAAAATTTGTTATTAAGTTTTGGACACAATAATACAAGTAATCGAACATTTGACGTCATTTAAAACTTAGAAACTGAATGGATTCACATTGCACAGAAGATTTATTTGTTTATTTGCACTCACTGAAGTTATACATTTTAACCACAAAAAAGTACTAGTTCGACAGATTCCAGCGAAGTCATGGCTAGTTAACAGCGAGATTAATAAATAACCATAGACGGTTTCGTAAACGCCATCTGTGAATTTTTGTCACTATCATCAGAACACAGTGCTGGCGTTCTAATTAGTGTCATAGTCTGCTTCATGTTACCTTATGGGTATCCCTTTTATGCTTAGTTTAAGATAAACATCGAAAAATTTCTCAAGAAGACATTTACCCGACGGCGGATTGCATAAACTGGATTTCGCGATAAAATTCAAGTGTTGCATAACCACAGCCGCCTACATGGATGGAATAACTTCCACGAAGTTAACTACCGAACAGGAAAAAAAGGACGAGAGCTGCTTCGTTTCCCGTGAAAGCGGAACGCGAATGGATAAGATTTAAATTCTTTTGAAGTTTATTTAAGATGAAAAGGTAGACATGTACAACGTTAAAAAAAAAAGATTTAGAAACTTTTAAGACGATCATATTCGTTTATATTCAAAATGCAAATAAGCAAGTCATAGATGACTTTTAAGTCTTAACAAAGAAGTATAATAAACTAGTGACCCGCCCCAGCTTCGCACGGGTGCAATGCTGATACTAAATATATTTTTGTTTTGTTTAGATTATTATCGAAAAGGGGAAATCTTCAAAAGATACCCCCTGAACATACTAAATATACTACAGAATGTCTTTATATACAACATTCACAGTTTTTTTGTCATTAGACAATACAAACCGGCCTCCCGGCCGGTACCGCCGCAACCGCTATGTCCCTGCATTTTAAATCTGTAATATCTTCGAAAATATTCATTTAAATTACATGTTGTAAAGGGCCATATTGATCTATATTAAATGTACAATGTATTTAGAAGTTAATTGGATAAGAATTAATGCTGTATTATCTACAATCGCTTCGTAAATAAGTCATTATTTCTCAAAAAAAGTAAAGGATAAAAATGGTTATTGTGGGTTATCCCTAAGAGATAGACATATACCATCCCGGACTTTTTAGTAGACCCTTTTAAGATGTACAATATTGTAGTACATTATTTTGATCTATCTCGTAGGGTACGACTTCACATTAGAAACCTCTAAAATTATCAGTGTTTCCCTGCTATATTATGCATGTATTATACATATAAACCTTCCTCTTGAATCACTCTATCTTTTGAAAAAAAAACCGCATCAAAATCCGTTGCGTAGTTTTAAAGATTTAAGCATACATAGAGACAGACAGCGGGAAAGCGACTGTTTTATACTATGTAGTGATGAGAATATTTTTATTATTTTTATTAAACAGATAGACGTATGCAGAAGTTTCAAATGGAAAATGTAGAACATTCTTATACAGAAAATTTTTCAGTTGTGATTTTTGCCAATATTGCGAAGGAAATATAGAAAACAGAATAGATTATTAGAACTAAAAGAATTTCTTAAATTTATAAAATAGGAAAATATGTAATGTGTAGGTACTCCAGCACGATCAAGAATCGTAGCCAATAACATGGAATCTGGATATTTTGCAAAATAGCCAAATGTACATTAGAAAAGGGCAAGTTTTACGGATCAAGTGTCTACAGACGTTGTTAGCTCAGCCCATTCTAAAGAGTTTACTCCCAAACTTAGTGTACTCACTACCGCAACCTCGCATTGCAAGTTCCACTTCAATTAATAAGTTAGCAAATTGTAAAAGCTAATTATGAAATAGAATAATCATTACTTGACATACAATTTTTGTTAAAAACAGACCTTAAACTAAATAGAGTAATTCAGCAAGAACATCTGTAAAGACGATGAAAAATCGTTTCTCAGATTGATACATGAAAGAAAGTGGTTTGAGTAACGACATGAGAAAACGAGTCGAACACTAAAAATTGTTTCAATACATCACTGCCTCTTTATATGATAATGTAAGCACTCCCATTTCTAGTAAGCAATACGATTTTCTGTCCTCCGTCTAAATCTAATGTAGAACCATCCAGCAGGAGTAACTTTTTCTTTTTTCATGGCGATCAGACCGTTCAATGATAGTGAAGCTATATAAAATCCAGAATATTTTATAAAACGGATTTATTTAATATTACACGTAAACATTGTCTATTTCTTGGAAATTCGAATAGGATTATCATTAAAGGTGTATAAAATAATTCGCAGTGGTCTGTATTCTGTCGAAACTGCCAGACGCGGATCGCGATTTCGATCTTTTTGGGTCTCATCAGCGCGTCGCAGGCAGCTCCGACAGAACACAGACCAAATTTTTATCTGCTGTCTTAACAGTTTAACGTTTTAGGTGCGTTAAAGGTGTATGTTTGTTACTGCTCTACATGGGTGTGAAACATGGATGGAGAGCGCTGCGAGGAAAAGAAGTAGGATTATAGGAGGATTTTTAAGATATCTTGAAGGGAAATATTTAGAAATTAGGGGGTATTAAATGGAGTAGGAGATAGACGGGATAGGTTGGTAGGACAACGTCTGATGAAGGATTAGGTAGATTTATTAGAATCAGAAAGAGGGGTAAAGGGATGTAGAGATATACCTCGGTTAGATTACTGTTTGAAAATCAATAATTACAGATGTTAGGTTGCTGTAATTTTCGAGAAATGCCAAATTAGGCTCCAAATAGAAAGACGTGGAATTGCATGTTTGACAAGTCTTAGGACTGAAGATCTTATAATGATGAAGAAGATGCAAGTTCTTATGGAATCATTTTATGGAAAAACTGCTGCTGTTATAGTTTCTATGTATATCCCATGGCCAAAACGCTACTCTGCGTCAGGCCGTTACTTTGTCTTTTCCATCGGCTCTTTCTCCTTTCTAGCATGACATAGAAACGACTGTTTTGTAGCAAGGAATCAATAATTTTCACCAGCTGGTAGTCCTTAAGTGTTTTATATATATATATTCTAGGAGCATTCTGTGGTTGCTGTAGTTTTCGAGAAATGCCAAATTTGGCTCCAGATAGGAAGAGTTCAACGAGTCTTCGGTTTGAAGATCTTATGATGATAAAGAAGATGCGAGTTCTTGTGGAAGAGATTTTATGGAAAAACTGCTGCCGTTTTAATTTGTATGTATATCCCACGACCAAAATTATTTAATAAAGAAGTTTCGATGCGTAGATATACTAAGTACGCGACCTCATAAAATTTGAAGTGCTTAAATTTTGTTTGAGTATAGAAGAGCAAGTAGTTTATCAGGGCACCTGAATCTCTATAAAGAGGCGATGAAATATTGGAAAAATTGTCTACTCAAGTTACAAAGTGAAGGGTTCGCGAAGGACGGAAAAGTGGAGTGCTGCTGAATAGCAGGATATGTAGGTCGAAAGGAGAATACTTGTCAGAAATTAAGAGGCATTCATTCCGTCTATAATGATATCGATCTGCTGAAGAAGCATCACATGAGCAAAAATGCTCCAAGTCGAAAATTACAGAGGCAGGATATAAAGAAGTACTTTTTACAATGTCTTTGAACGACTAAACGAAACTAAGATGTTAAAAGGAACTGTTTGACATCAAATCACATTAACAAAATAACAGTATAATTAAAGGCTATATATAAAAGCACACGATGAAGTAATCTCAACAATCGAGGACAAGGACTGTAGCTCTCAACTTACCAAAGGCCGCAGAAGCCTGAAATGTAGGTTATATATTAATTGCGGAGTGCAGTAATTTTATTTAAAGAAAATAAAGGATAACAGGAAAAGTGTAAAGCAACAATTAGTATTGCTCTTGATATTTGATGATGATAGTGATTTGGCTTAACCGACTTCAGACTTACTTTCGATGGGATTCGCGAATTTGGAGCGTTCGGAAACATGTTATCATACATTTTCTCGGAAAGGCTTTGGAATTATGAGTTTACCGAAAGTAAGAGTGCTCTAAATGCTCTTATGAGACTCAGTCCAGATTGCTGAAGGGCTTGCACTAATAAGCTCCTAATAAATGTCAAACTTTGGGTTCCTTGTTCAAGGTGGTGACAACACCTAATCGGACCTGAACCGGTCGTTGGCAAATCAAGCAGGAAATGGATACTCAATCAAGATGCAGTTCCTCTTCAAATTACAGAGACTGGAGGTGAGAGAATTGCGATGAATATCACGGGAACAATTTTGGACTAACCATCAGTCTTGCCTGCCATTTCTGTAGCAGATATGTGGAAAGTGAAAGCCACAAAGTCCTATAGGCATTTTATTTTTGAGAAAATTCCTTTCAGGTGTAAGGAGGAGATCAAATAGGGAGCCACGCACGAACCCGTGCATCGTGGGTTGTTTAAATTCATGGCCACACAGCAAAGCCACTCTTTGCTATTTTTATGACAGATTTATCTTCGTTATATTTGGAATAAAGTAGAAGGTACATGACTTTTTGATTTAGATGTTCTAATGCAGGTCGAGACAGGAGATGCAATCTTATGGAAATTCATTTTTTAGTACATACACTTCCAGTTAGTGATTGTAGGTTTTTACATCAGTAGTCATTATATTGATCGTTCAGGTTTTCACCGTTTGGATCTCGTACCAAAGTCAGCTCCGGACTGCTCCGAACTGAAGAAGAGAAAAATGGAAATCCGAAAGTTCAATCCAACTAAACACCTACTTTTTCTAAATGAGTACACGTATTTAAGAGCCAGGAGCGAATTCAACATGAGCAGTCAATATGATAAAAAAGAGAATATAATTTTCAACAATATTTGAAACTTCTGGTTTAATGCTAACTTGTGTTAATAAGAACCATCCATGTTTCAGGTCAGTGTTATTAAGGTCTGAGTCTTTATACGACCACGAGCTCTCGTCACAATAAACCTACATCTATAAAGATTAAAACATGCAAAAATTCAAATTTGACATTACCATTTATCGCTGGAGCCAAAACAAATGCATGTTCGCCATCGGATCAAACATGGTCGATTGGAGCTTTCTCCACGATGCCCGTTGCTGAAGTAACGGTGACGTAGCACTGCAAAGGTTGATCGTCACAGTCCGCAGCATAGCGCGACACCTGCCTCTGCTGTCCACCCGGCAAGTAATACGCCATGCACGTAATTACGACCAGGAAGAGAAAGAACACGAATACAAAGTCGAACATGAGCAAGGAGTTCCACGTCAGCAGGCGCATGGCAAGGTACAGGACTTTGTCGCGCACCACCTCGTCGACACAGGCACTCGGGTGAACATAACGTATGCGAACCAGCGGGGCGACCTCGTACGCGTCCAACAATGTTTTACTTTCTTTAGATTGTAACCATTCAAATGATGAATTCACTTTTTCGACATTGTTATCGATAAATTATAAAAAAAACATACCTATTACTTTTGTTAGTAAATGCAAGATGTCCAGCAAAGGTAAATACAACTGTTTCCGGTGAGTTTATCATCAACCCTTCAAATACAGTATAAATAACATAAATAAGTTTTGTCGTAATTACTAGACATGGGTCGCGATTTTGAATTCGTTAGAATAACTCCACCAATTTTGAATTGTTAGCGGTAATGAATAAAATTCAAATCTACAATCAAATAAACGAATGTCAAAGGATACATATAATGAGGTGTAAAATACACTATAGAGAGATCGTCTGAAGTTTAAAAGATCAAAGAACAATCTCAAACCGCATCACACAATATATCTACAAATGATACATACAAGTGTCGTCAGAAAGCCAGGGACGCATTTATGGATTAGAGATACGCCTTGTCGTAAATATCCGGGAAATGAAATTGGAAGATCGTCAACGTGGTTAGAAAAAAAAAAAAGATCCTGTCGACGTGAAAGAAATACGGAAATAGTTTTGATTAAAATGTTTGTGTTTCTTCGCCATCCTAACGAATATCTTACAAGTACGAATTCTTCACCACTGAATAATTCCTTTATAAATTCATTTAAAACTAGCAGCCCCGACAGACTTCCTTCTGTCAAATGTTATTGGCCTGTCGCAGTGCGGCAGAAAAAATAAATAAATGAAATCTATTTCAGAGTGATCAATTTATTTATTGATTTAATATCTCAACAAGCACAAAAATGCCATGCACGGAGGAGGTAATGATGACACGTACGTCAGTTATTTTATTTTCTTTGATAACACCCAAACCGTTTTCTTGTTCGAACTTTACTTTGGGCAGACATAGAAATTTGAAATTCGTAATTCTCGGATCTCTTCCATAAACGTACTTGTAGCATAAGATCTTCCTTTAACACACATTTGAAACATCCAGGTTTGAATTGCAGTAGAGTTAAATTAGCTTTCCTCCAGAGTGTAGGGATCTTCCTTTTTCGCAACAATAGTTGAAGAGCTCCAAGATCCAACTTCTGGCTGCTGATCCTAGATTTTCATTTGTTCCACACAAATATCGTCTTCTCCCGTTGGTTGCCTTACCATCCTTCATTGAGGGAGTTCGCTGATTGTTAAAGCTAACTCAAGAGCTTTTGTTTCAGTTTGGAAATCTCTGATAACTTTTAGAGATGTTGATGTGATCCTGCATGCTTGTTTGCGCTCTCTTGGGTCGCCGTTAAGCTCCTTGACATGGTTCCAGGCCATGCTGCTGCTGTGCGTCATGTCCATTTTTTCATAGGTATCTATCCATTCTGATGGTCTAGCTCCTTCATTAGGGCTGTCCCACATGCTTTAGTTTCCTCTTTGGATTGGCATTCGTTGTAGAGTTTCATATTTGAGTCGGACAGATTTAGAGTCCTCTGAGATACCCAGAATGTAGTATTGTTTACAATCTCGTGAAATATTTCGTCCTGATGCTTTCTTCACTGCCTCCACGAACATGTCGTACAGAATCTTTGACGAATGATTCCAACGATTTATTATTTCATTCCGTCATGGGTTCACAATTTGCCATACGTAATAATTTTAAAACTGGCATACAGTAAATGTACTTAAATAAAAGACAAAACTGGAACTCCTGTTGAACCCAGTAAATTACGTTCATTCGATCGTTTTTCTTTGTACGTAAGGACGAGTTCGTCGCCTCCTGTTAATTAAAGTGCATTTCACGAAACCAAGCGCCGCTAACCCCTTCTTGTGTTCACTGCACCACCATCGCACAGCGTTAGCGTTATTCACATTCATGAAACAGAAATTGAATATTCAGTTTAATTTAACTAAAGATTTATACTATTGTTTTGCGTTCATTCATGGTTTCGACGTCGACAGAAAGATGCCTGTCTTAAATATCAAAAGTCACAAACCAACCTAATGTGAAATAATATGTATTTTCGTTAAAACATCCATGTGTTGATTGATGCAGTAGCTTTTGCTTTAAACCTTTTGTGATGCAAAATCTAACTTGCTTCGTCCTGAATAATTTGTCGAAAAGCAGGAACTATTAGCATCTTATTTTTTTATGAAATATCGTCCTTCAACACTACATTTTCATCAAAACATACCCATTAGTAAACGCGGGAAGAATACTTTAAATGAGAAAAAACGGAGACCTTCAAAACACATAGATATTCAAGGTCACTAACTGATTTCCTCTTTTGTTTAAAACGTTTTTTAAAACAATGAGAACAACCCCTATGGTGATATTAAATATTACATTACTTTTGAGGATGGGGGCCAAAATACTGCTTTGCGTCAGGCCGTTATTTTGTCTTCCCCATCGACTATTGTTCTCTTCTAGCATGACATATAAACGACTGTTTTGTAGCAAGGAATCAGCAATCAGTTGATAGTCCTTAAGCATTTTATAGATTTTTTCTAGAAATATTCTGTGGTTGCGGAGCTCAAGTTGACCAATGCTAGTCCTGTTATTTGTTTATTTTCGTATCCCTCCACTACTTGTTGATAGGTTGAGGATTTAGTTAGCGATTTCCCAAATCTGAACCCAGCTTGCTCAAGGATGAGCTTTTGATCAGTGATATTCGCTGTACAGTGAAGGATAAGTCTCTCATACAGTTTGAAAAGGTGGCACAGGAGAGAGATGGGTCGGATGTTTTTGAAGGAGTCAGGGTCCTTGTCAGACTTTAGTAGCGCTATTATATTTCCTCAAGAGTTTAGTGATCTTCGTTTTTCGCGACAAGATGAAGAGCTCCAGATTCTAATTTCTGACAGTGGATCCTAGGTTTTGTATTTGCTCCACACAAATATCGTCTTCTCCCGCTGGCTGCCTTAACATTCTTCAATGAGTGGATATCCTGGTTGAGTTCGCTGATTGTAAACGCTGACTCAAGAGTGTTTGTTTCAGTTTGTAGATTTCTGACAACTTTTGGTTTCTTAGATATTGATGCAGGCTTGAGTTGGTGATCTACTTGGCCTGATGTGATACTGTATGCTCGTTTGCGCTCTGTTGGGTCGCCGTTAAGCTTCTTGACAAGGTTCCAGGTCATATTGCTGCTGTGCGTCATGTCCATTTTTGGTATCAGTTTTGCTGGTCTAGCTTCGTTGAACGCCTTCATCAGGGCCGTCCCACATTCTTTGATTTCCTCTTGGGATTGGTATTCGTCTTAGAATTTTTCATATTTGGCTAGGACAGATTTAGAGTCCTTCGAGATACCAAGAATATAGTGTTGCTTACATTCACGTGCTATATTTCGTTTAGATGCTTTCCTCACTACCTCCACGAAGATGTCGTACCTCCATGTGGCAGAACTTAGGTTACTGATAGCTGAGTCCATGTGCGAAGCTCTTCAATTTGACCTTTTTGAAGTTAAATCTTCTTCCAAAAGGTATTATAGTTATTCTTATTGCAGCAAACACCTGGATGCCTATTGGTCTACGTCGAGCGTTTAGGATTGGTTCATTTATTAAACTTTTTGTCATTTTCAAGTATCAAAGTACGCATGAAAATGGATTGTTTTTGGCGAACTAGAATATGCCAGATTTTGCTACATTATGCTTACGATACCTACATCTACTAACCACTTTAACGAATACATTAATATCATAATGGTATAAAGGTGCAGCAAGTGCATGCAATCACATTAGTTTTACAATGAACATTCCCACTGGAATACATTCCAATCAATGCTTCAGGGTAAAATAATCCGTTGCGCGGAGATTTAAAACATTAATGTAAACGGTTCACCGATTCAATCACTCCTTTTGAAAGAACGATTTACTCCAACGACGAATGTAAACACGATTCCAATGTTATTTTTTGAAATTGAACGCCTGTTGCCAATACACGTAGTGCTTTTATGCCACAGAACGCACCGTGTTAGCGCTGTAACCGATTCACGCGAGTAATTCATATTAAATAATTAATTAAATTTTTCAAATTTATTAATGCACACAAATATTTAAATATGTAGTTTCAAATGCGTACAATTAAAAGTATCTTTAATTAAAATTCAATATTATATGCTAGATAACTTAATAAATATACAGGGTGTAACAGAAATGAGTGCCGAGCTTGTAGAAGGTGATAGAGCACTATAAAACATGAAAATTAAGTAAATTTTTGTATGTCCGAAAGGTCATCGCAACGCTGCACTCAATCAGCTGGTGTAACATTTGTTTTGTAGTTTTTCTCATGTATTGTTTATTTGTTAGATTAGATTAAGTGTGATTTAGGGAATTTGTGTTAATAGTCAACCTACAGTAGCCGTTTATTCATTTAACGTTTAAACCTTGTGAGGCAATCGAAGTGCAGCAATAGTTGTTGTATTCTTATCATTTGCAGCGAGTGGAAGCCTTGCTTGAAACTAATTTTCAGTAGCGAATCTATTTGTGTCGGTAGTTTTGAAAGAAAAGAAGATTTTCAAATTTGCATATAAACTTTTGGTACAGAAGCTTTATATTGTTCGGTTATCTTGTTTGCAAAAGCTGCAATCAGCTCGAAATGTCTGGAGGTCTGGCGATAAGTCAATATTTAGTTTGAGTCGGAATCACTCTAAAAAATCGAACTTCAATTCGTCAAGCGGTAGCATCAAAATGGAAGTTGGAAACAATCACACCAGATGGCTTGCACAAAATGAATAATCACTATCAAAGACGTTCGACTGAACAAAATGTCACTTCGATAATCCTTTACTAAAGCTGGAGATTTACGTTAGTAATTAGATGAAAAAAAGATTGTTTGATTATAATTATCTATATACATATAAGATCGAAACTTATAGATGAATTTTCAAATTAAAAATAAAGATTATTATCAGTCATCCTGAAATCAGACATTTCATTTTGCTTGCCCATTCCATAATAGTGGCTTTAGATATACAGTTACAGAATGCAATTTTTCTGCATGATTCATTTGTACTAATTATGTATTAATAGAAATTGGCATACATAATTGCTAATCGACTAGATGACAAAACTTTCGATAGGTGTTAAATATATGTAAATAGGTACAGGGAAATATTTCAGGGTGGAACTAAGACGTTAGACGATATTAAAATCAATTCAAATACCCATTGTGTTTAAAACAATTGTT